CTCACGAAGTCTCGCAAAATATCGCAACTGCTCGCGAGATCTGTGTGACGTCAAGGGAAGCTGGCTTAGACATAGTGGACACTGACAGCGTGGGATGCTGGTTGCCATATTTGGTAGTGTAGCTAAGCTAACTCCTTTGTATGTATGGTGATATAGTGTCTGCCGAAAGAGCAACACTTCACCCAGACAATGTCAATATGCTGTTGTTCTTGAACAAGAACACATAGACTTGTACTCTTGCATATTGAGTCTTGTATGTACATCACTATGTATGTAGTTGTGTTGTGTAGTTAGTAACACATGTAGAGTTCTAGAAAAGACATGGTGTAGACACAAGTTGAAGGGGGGCACAATAAACCTGACGAGTTTGAATTTGAGTTGATTATGAGTTTATTTTCAATTGATAATTAGCTCACAATAAGTTCACTTTAGTTACTCACACAACTTGACCTGAACCTGAACCTCTGGACTTGAGTCCGGACCTGAACCTGAATGTGAGTCCAGGTAGGCCTACACAGCACTAGGCGTAATAAGCAAAGGTAATGGAATAAATAAAATAAATAAACACAGCAAGAACAGAACACATGACTGAAAGGCGTACTGCAGTGTGAGTATGAGCAGCTCAGTTAAAAGCAGCGGCACAGAGGTGCGTTTTTAGTCTGGATTTGAAAATAGGAAGTGTTTCGGCGGACGTGCACGATTTGGGCAGTTTGTTCCAGATTGTTTGGTGGTTGTTCTCGGAGCAGAGAGCAGACCCAGAGGACCTGAGACTCCTGATGCTTCATAGGGATGCAGGAGGTCGTCTGTACCTCGGTCCTAAGCCATTTAGGGATTTAAAAACTAGCAGCAGTATTTTAAAATCAATTCTAAAGCAGCTTCACTTCATCACATTACACTTTAACAGCAGGTGGAAAAACAGAGGAGACGCCTTGTTCCAGATTGAGTTGATGAGTTAATCAAGTAAATTAGTGAAGGACATGAAACAAAGTGACAGCTGCTCTATTTCAGAATACAATAAAGATTAGGTCAAAGGTCCAATAACATGATATTTAACAAAAGACAAGGACAATAACAGGCTAGATTAAATCCTCCAATAAAATATAATTAAAACAAAAATATATTTATATTAAGTCAAAGAAATTATAGAATAAAATAATTGTATAAACTCAAGAACTTAAAATAAAACATCAAATGATGAAGGATTAAAAAAGAAGTAGTTCTCTTTGTTCAGTTATAGTTTGAAATGTTATATGTTTGAATCCAGAGGAGCAAAGCCACTCTGCATTGGGTTCCAGTGAAGAGTTGCTCTGATGGCTCTCAGCTCTCTGGACGGACACTTTGACAGAAAGTGAAATAATGACCTTAATGTGAGTCTGATGTTCCCATGAGAGAACATGAGAGAACATGAGAGAACATGAGAGAACACATGAGAGAACATGAGAGAACATGAGAGAACATGAGAGAACACATGAGAGAACACATGAGAGAACATGAGAGAACACATGAGAGAACATGAGAGAACAATGAGAGAACACATGAGAGAACACATGAGAGAACATGAGAGAACACATGAGAGAACATGAGAGAACACATGAGAGAACATGAGAGAACATGAGAGAACACATGAGAGAACATGAGAGAACACATGAGAGAACATGAGAGAACATGAGAGAACACATGAGAGAACACATGAGAGAACATGAGAGAACATGAGAGAACATGAGAGAACATGAGAGAACATGAGAGAACATGAGAGAACATGAGAGAACACATGAGAGAACATGAGAGAACACATGAGAGAACACATGAGAGAACATGAAGAACATGAAAGAACATGAGAGAACATGAGAGAACACATGAGAGAACATGAGAGAACATGAGAGAACATGAGAGAACATGAGAGAACACATGAGAGAACACATGAGAGAGAACATGAGAGAGAACATGAGAGAACATGAGAGAACATGAGAGAACATGAGAGAACACATGAGAGAACATGAGAGAACATGAGAGAACATGAGAGAACATGAGAGAACATGAGAGAACACATGAGAGAACATGAGAGAACACATGAGAGAACACATGAGAGAACACATGAGAGAACATGAGAGAACACATGAGAGAACATGAGAGAACACATGAGAGAACACATGAGAGAACACATGAGAGAACACATGAGAGAACACATGAGAGAACACATGAGAGAACATGAGAAAACACATGAGAGAACACATGAGAGAACACATGAGAGAACATGAGAGAACACATGAGAGAACACATGAGAGAACACATGAGAGAACATGAGAGAACATGAGAGAACATGAGAGAACACATGAGAGAACATGAGAGAACATGAGAGAACATGAAGAACCGGAGAACACCAGAGGAACATGTTTGATTCAGAGGGAACACGTGCTCTGCATGATATCAACGTTTTAAAAAGATTGATTTTTCTTCCTTTAATAAAAATGCTTCTGATTCAGAGACTTTTTGTGAAGGAACGTTTTGACTTGAATTTATTTTTCTTTTTAAAAAGGTATTTCTTGTCGTTATTTATTCCAGTGAATTCTGATTATTTAATATTTCTTTGTGATCTTTTTAGATTGTTAATTTTGTTGATGTTTATTTTATTTTATGATTTATATTTTTGCAAATGTTTAAAGATGAATAGTTAGCATCACATCCTGTAAACATAATGTATGATGTCCTTGATTGTTCTATGTTTCATGGGGAACCTAATTGCTGCAGGTCTCCCTTGGTTAAATAAAGGTTAGAAATGACACACACCAAAAGCCTTTGCAAGTTAAATAATATAAACACATCTTGAGTTTAAAGACTAAGCTTATAGAAAACTACTAACAAAGAACCAAAACAACGATAAAATCTATAAAATAAATGAATTATATTTATAAAGAAACTATTTAAATAAATGTTTGTATTAAATATTTTTATTTTGCAAAGTTCTGCTCTGTGGAGATGTTTCAATAAAGTTGTTGAATTGAACTCCTTACGCTTCTGCTCATTATTTATTCATAGAGCTGTTAAACCACCTCAGTGACCAAAGTGCTGAACAGAGAACACATACAAATAGAATAACACAATACAAATATAATGAAAAACAAGCACTATAACTAGAAACATATAAACACATAGAAATGTCCAAATGTAATAGTCAACCGGTATTAATGATGAGATAAGACTTTATTGATCCTGAAGGAGCCAGAGTTACAAAGATACGATCAACACAGCAGCATGATGATAATCACACTGTACCCTAACAGAGCAGAGAGCATGTCTCCAGGAACCAGACGGTCTCATCATGGATGTAAATATCAACAGTAGTGCAAGAAAACGTAGTGGCAGATATGTCATTGCACGTTATCATTAATAATAATAATATTGCACATGTTATAGCAGCGAGTGTTAGACAGTATGCATTCAAACTTCTCACCCTGAGCATCACAGTGCTGTAACCGAGTCTCAGTAACACTTCAGTCATCTCAGGACGGGTTCCTCTGCAGGCTGCTTTTTCCTTCTGTTGATGCATTAGGAGGCGTGCCGTGCCGGGCCGGGCCGGGCCAACAGTCTCAGAGGCTCCATGTGATCCTGCAGGGGGGTGTCGCTCTAAAAAAACACTTTCCCACCACCCAGGCTGCATTTGAGAGCTTCTCTTCCTCCGCTGCGGACACAGGATTTAGCTTTTTCCTCCGCTGCTACCTTTTGGGATATTTCCATTACCGGACAGTGACGGACTGCTGCGGCATGGGCGACGCTCAGTCTGCGCACCGCGACGCTGAAGCGGCAGAGGAGCGGAGCGGGGACGCGCGGGACGATGAGCAGGAAACCGGAGACAAGGTATCTGATCATCACTCACTGAAACACTGCTGTGATGCAGCAGCAAACCCTTCACTGCCTCATTTATCTGTTCAGAAACCGGAGGCAAGGTATCTGTCATTGTTCAGCCCTTTATGCTGTATAATGGCCGCATGTCATGGAGTGTAATGTCGTATCTCTAGACCTTTCTATGAGACAACTTTGTTTACCTAAGAGGTCTTTAGCCATGGTACATACATACTTCAACACATACTCAGTATCACTCCGCGCCACATCAGTAACATCCTGATAGACACAGTATCTGATCATCACTCACTGAAACACTGCTGTGATGCTGCAGAAAACACTTCACTCTCTAATGTCTGCAGTGGTGATGTTCAGCACTGTGGTGTTAAAGCTCTTAGAAGCAGTCAGTGTTGTGCAGAGTAGAAATGCTGAGGCTGAGTGTTGTTGCTGCCAGCAGGACAGAGCAGCTGCCAACACATGCATTGACCCTGAGTCTCAGATGTGTTTCAAACTAAGTCCTTGCATGTTTGGGTAAACTGCATCGAGCGCAAGAGGCTACTTTTATTCAGGGGTCTTTCTAAAAGTAGCTGACTCTTGTTCTGTGGAATTGAAGGAGCCAAAGATGCTTTCCTGGCTTTTCTATGTTAGTTTGAACCGGCTTGAGCCCCTCTTCATGGTTTCATTGATGCAGAGCAATTTGCATTTACCGTAAAAAGGGTAGTGTGCAGAGTGATGAGCTCTCCTCGGAGGAACCTGTGAGGCCCTGGGGAGATCTGGGGTTCCTCTCTCATCGATGTGTTGTTCTGCAGATCACATGAGAGCAGGAAGTCAGAGAGAGCACTGAGAGGAGGGAAGCAGCCGTCATGTGTTGGGAGAGATCAACACGAGATAGTGATTTCGCAGCACTCGACCCGTTGAGACGGGCGGTAACACGATTAGGAAGCAGGAGGCCGTCGTTTCGCGCTCACACATCGCATGTTCCACGGCTTTGGTTTCCAACGTTAACTCCAGTGAGGGTGGACGAAAGTGTTCCAGTATCATGTTTGTGATACTCTCGGAAAACTGCATTGATTTGAACTTAGTTTACATGCAAAGTACCAGAATGGGGATCAGGTGGCAGTGAGAGGACAAGATGGATTCTGCAGAGTTTGTTATGACAAAAAAATGCATAAAATTAAAATGTTGGCGAGTCAAATGTCTTTGCATGACAGTGTTTTGTTACAATAAGACAAATATCTAAAAACATCAGTTTGCTTACAGTATCACATTTTTTAAGGGTGTTTGCACCTTTTTTGTTTTAATACCTAACCCTAACCCCCAAAATACCAACGCTGCAGACAGACAAATCAAAAAGTCTAAAATGCAGTAAATATTGTTTTTAAGTTAAATGACATTTAGAGAGAACATGAGAGAACATGAGAGAACTTGAGAGAACACATGAGAGAACACATGAGAGAACACATGAGAGAACATGAGAGAACANTGGCAGTAATCCCGTAGCTCATCATCCGCATCACTGTTGACCCGTGTTTTCTTGCTGTTCGTTTGCCTCTGTTCAGTGCTGACGCCGGTCCGTTGCTCACTGGTGCTAGCATTACTGCTAGTGCTAGCTGTCGGCAGCGGGTGTCTCATCTTCAGATGGTTGCGCATAGCAGATGCATTTGTATTGTACTTCAGTACAGCTGTACACAACTGACACTTCACTGTGGAGTTGGTTACATCTTCGTTGAAGTACTGCCATACATAAGAATGTCGGACGTGTTTTGGAGCATTTTGCAGCACCTCGTTTACCTCAATTTTTTTCACGACTAGTTGACTAGGGCCTACAGCGCCGACTAGTGGTAAATGTAGTCGACTAGTCGACTAGTCGATTAGTTGGTGAAACCCCTATCGTGTATCTTATCATCGTGTATCTTATCATCGTGCAACGTCTCTACGTTTTGGTGGTTTTGCCCTAAAACTCAACAGCTTGAGACTGAAAACAACATGCTGCCTGTTCCCAGATCAAAGTTAGGCGAGGTGCGTGCATTTTAAATGTTGAGTGGAAAATCAGCTCACAGCCTCAGAATCACATTATGCACTTTGGTCTTCAGGCATGCAGTCGTTTGATCCGATGATTTGATTCTACATTTAAGGCTGCAGTAACTCAAGATGATGCATCGCTTCTCACTGGTTATCATTCAAAACATGTAACAAACGTTGGCTAGGATTAATCTTCCGTATCAATGTCCAACACGGTCTTAGCCGGTATTAGCAGATTTCTGTGTTTCCACATTATTAAGGAACATGTTCTCCGTGTTCCCTGCTCAGACTAATCTGGATCAGAACTAGATACTTGGACATTTAGGGTTATTTAACCGTGAGACTCCCATCAGACCCACTCACTGCTGACTGGGCTGTGTTGTTGGGACTCAGAACAGGAATCTGCTGCCCCAGTTAATCCCAGATTTAACATTTTTGTTTCATGGAAGTTCACATTCTGATGGATTAGGCTCATTTTTCTCTGGATTTGAGCAAATACTCATACCACCCATTTAGATATTCACAATAGCAGTTAAATAACACGATTACCCATACCCAATGTAAGGGTTGAATTAAAGGCTCATGAAAGAAAGGATTGGATATTCATCTTAATATTTGTTTTGATTGGCTTCAGTTGTTTTAATGATGAATTACAAGCTGCTTGGAGCTAGTTTAAGAAAGCAGTCATAATTCCCTGATATCGATTTAATATAACTGTGATACAAGTCCCTTTCAAACAACTGGATTTAATCAAGTTCCTCCCAGGAAACCATGCACCACTGTCAGGGGTCAAACATTGATTAGCTCTCCTGCAGATTACAGACACATGTTCCAATGTCAGGGTGAAAAATAGGTTGCATTTAGAAGATCTCAGGGAACTGGTTTCTAAACACAGTTTCTATTGATCCCAGGAAAAAAGGATATTGTTAGTCTCGAGCAGTGTTGGGCAAGTTACTTCCAAAATGTAATACAGTTAAGTACTTATTACTGTCTCTGAAATGTAATGAGTTACACTACTTTTATATTACTTTTGAGTTACTTTCACCAAAATAACCGCAAAAGAATAGCTAGGTATTTTAAATGCTGGAATGTAGTTTAGTGCAGCTCATCCAGTGAAGGGCGATGTGGTATAGCATAACAACTGTGTAGGCCCTTAAGGCTACTAACAACTTGTATTACACGGCTTAGTTGAATACTCGATTCTGATTGTAAATTCTTAACATGTGACACGTTGTTAATACAGTACAGACCACTATCAATGACTATAATGAAGATTTCTAAGGAGGATCAAGAAAGAGAAAGGAAAAGAGGTTAAAAGACGGAGGGCTGGACGTCAGATAAATCACCAGAAGAAGGCAGAGAGGAAGTAAACACTAACAGGAACACGGTATGGACTACAAACAGGAAGTAAACACTAACAGGAACACGGTATGGGCTACAGACAGGAAGTAAACACTAACAGGAACACGGTATGGGCTACAAACAGGAAGTAAACACTAACAGGAACACGGTATGGGCTACAGACAGGAAGTAAACACTAACAGGAACACGGTATGGACTACAAACAGGAAGTAAACACTAACAGGAACACGGTATGGACTACAAACAGGAAGTAAACACTAACAGGAACACGGTATGGACTACAAACAGGAAGTAAACACTAACAGGAACACGGTATGGACTACAGACAGGAAGTAAACACTAACAGGAACACGGTATGGACTACAGACAGGAAGTAAACAATAACAGGACACGCAATGGACTCTGTAGTTTGTTCAGTATATGGCCGTGTAGCGGGGTGATGTGCAGCGAGGCGGGCCTTATGGGGAAGAGAACACCCGACATGGGTCTGAAGTACCAGTTCTCAAGATATCACTACTTTAAAGGGAAACCAGTGCTTTTGAAACTACTTTTACAAACAAGGATATGTTAAACCTTTACTGCCTAAAGCTCTACAATATTATCTTTCCCAGAAAAGCGAGGATGCATTGTATGAATTCTTTGTGCTTTGTTTCAGCCTCTCATGAACAACGGGCAGGTCTCTGAGGTCAGTGGGAAAGCAGAAAGCTCGATAGCCGAAGTGAATGGTCTCTGTGAGGAGCAGGTTCGTGCAGAGGGTAGGTTCTCTTTTACTATTGCTGCACATTACGATGGGCACTGTCAGCAGCATTTGAACAGATGCATTAGTATTTGTTTGCAGCTGATAGAGTTTCATCTCAGTCATCAGTCTCGTACAGCTCTTTGCATCCAAGTGTTTTAATATTTAATCTCTTTCCTGGTTTAGCTTTCCTTTCACCAGAGAAGGATGATTCGGAAACAGAAAAGCCACTCAAAGAAGAAGAAACACCTTTAGAAAACGTTGAAATAAGAGAAAAGGAATCTCTTAATGAAGCTGATGCTGACGAACCTCTGGAAGTGATAGAAATGAATGCAAAGCAGAATGACATCAATGAAAGCTTCAGGAGATTTTTCAGCAACATTGGTTTGAAGCTGACGGTAAAGAGGGGCTCAGGTGACGTAGCATCAGATGACACCGACAAGGAAGACCCAAACACACCAGAAGACATCGAAGATACAACAAAGGAAACCACAAGTGAGAATCCTGAAGAGAACACTGATCTGAACATGGCTCAGGAGACGTATGACAATGATTCAACAACATGTCCCACCCTGACTGACGTCACCCCGGAGGACGCTCCACAGACTGCGGAGGAGGAAACACCAGAAACCAAAGAGGAAGTTGAGTCTGATTATGTCGATGCAGAAATGCCTGCAGAGGGAGATTCACAGCAAGAAGCCACGCCCGAAGAAGAACCAGAATCTCCTTCTGGTCCGGAAGAGGCGAAGGTCGTGTCTCCAATTAAAAGATTTTTCACTACTGGAATCTTTTCTGGACTACGGAAGAAAAAGAAGCTTCCAGAAGAAGAGACAGCTGACAAAGAAATGGAGGACCTGGGGAAGAAGGAGGTTGTAGAGACGGCCGAAAAAACTAAACAAGATCACCACCGGGATGAAGAGGACATCCGTCATGAGGCTGAAGCAGCTGCAGTAGAGACAGAACATAAAGAACTGAGAGGGGGTAAGACGCCTGCCGCTCAGACCCCAGATCCTCTGACCATCATCGTCACTGAGCCTGAAATCCTGAGTTCTCAAGGGAAGGAAAAGGTTCAAGCAAGTCCTCTGAAAAGGCTGTTTTCAGGTTCTAGTTTAAATAAACTACCCAGAAAGCAAAGGAGCAGGAGGTCAAGTGATGCAAGGATGTCTGACTCTGGAGAACATGTTTCTGATAAAGTCATATCATCGACTGAGTTAGACGAGAATCAGAAAGGAGAAGTTCGTGCACAATCGTCTGCAGAAGAGGAGGAAGGTGCATGGGCTTCCTTCAAAAAACTGATGACTCCCAAAAAGCTCAGGAAGAGACCGTCGATTAGTAATGAAGAGACTAAAACCAAATGTTTAGTGGAAGAATCAAAGCCAGTCGAAGGAGGGCAAATATCAGATCACAGCACAGAAGAGGGCAACAAACGAAAAGACTCTTCTGTTTCATGGGAATCTGTTTTGTGTGGATCTGGAAGGAGACGAAGCCGTAAAACATCCGACTCTGAGGAGGAAACACCTCGGAATAACAACGATACAAACAAGCAAGACACTGGCTCTAAAGGTGGCGCAGAGTCAGGGCTCGAAAGCTCTCATGAGGTTGATGAAAGTGTAAGTCCTTCAGAGGCGGACGCAGGGTCCACATGGAAATCATTGAAAAGACTTGTCACCCCGAAAAGGAAATCAAAGGATGAAGATGAGAGCAAAGACGGAGTACAATCTGATAGTGAGTCTACTCAAGATGAGTCCTCATTCTCAATAAAGAAACTTCTACCTGGCAGAAAGAAGAGAAAGTCTACGGAAAAGCCAGACCAAGTATCTTCAGACGAGGCGGATAAGGACGTTGCTTCAGAAGACGAAGACTCGGAAACACCAGCTATTGTTCCTTTGTCTGAGTTTGATATAGTTGAGACAGCCGTTCAAATACAAACACAGGCAGACATAGAGAGGCGTATCCCCAAGGAAGCAGACCATGAAGTCCAGCGAGGCCTCTTTGATCAGAAGGCCGAGCCAGTCCTACAGGGGGTCTGTGTGCAAGCTGAAGCAAACAAAGTCCAAGACAAGGAAGATGCTTTAGAGAGCAAGGCGCCTTCAAGCCCTGCTACAAATGAAGAGTCTGATGATACAGAGTCACTCAGTAAACCACAGCTCAGTGACATCCCAGAGGAGGCCACCCCAGCTTCTGTCACCGAGGACGCAGCTAGAGACGACACTATCGCAGAGGACCTGATAGAGATCACATCCGAGGCCTTTACTGCACCAGAGCCTTTGGACGCCACCCAGGAGGATGAGACTGAAATGATCTCTGCAGTTTCCCAGTTATCTTCAGAGTCTTCCAAAACATCTGGCAACACGACACCAGTTCCAGCCGAATATGTCGTGAAGGAAACAGATGCACTTCTGTATCAGGTTGTTGAAACCATTTCCATTAGCCCAAAGGAAGTTCCAGTTTGTTCAGATGATTTTAGATCTGATAGAGTGGTTGTTTCCGTCTTGCATCAAATAATGGACACAATTGTAAAGAAAGGGCAGACGGTTCTTGAAATGCACAAAGGATTAGATGCAACTGACAGCAACCCAGATCTAGATGTAGAAGAACTGGAAGCAGTTGACAAACTTACAGCTAGCGCCCAAACAGAGAGCATATCTGAAGTCAATGGCTCTGTTTCCACAGAGATCGTATCTGAAGTTCATACAGAGGAGTTTGACACTGCTGAAATGGCTTTGGATGATGGACATGAGGTTGATGTTACACATCCGGAACAAAGCCTTAAAGAACTAGAAAGTGTTGATGAGATCTATCAGCTGGGGGAATGCCTATCAGCTGCTTCTACAGATATATTCCCTCCAGGTGAAGACATTGTCCTGGAGGAAGGATCTCTAGTTGAGGCACATCTAGCTGAAACAGAGCCCCCAAAGAATGACCCTCAAGTAGCAGCTGGAACAGAAGCTGAGGAAACCAGGGATGAGGCTATGGAGCAGGAAGTCCAATCTCTGACAGAAAAGGAAGATCTTATTCACAATGTCACTGATCAAATTCAGGTTGAGGATAAAGATGAACCACCAGTAGAGGCCAAGGAGAAGCAGGAGTTGGATCCAGAGGAGGGTAGGAGTGTTCAATCCCCTGAAAAGGACATTATATCAGAAGACATACCAGCAGCGGAAACACATGAACACAAAGAGGAAACATTGCCCCTTACTGAGGTCAACGTTGAGCCAGAGAAGGAAGATGAACTACAAACAGATCTTCAAGAACAGGAAGCTTCAGAAGCTCTGCAAACCTCCACATTGGTTTCAGAGGAGGGCAGTGATCAATCAGCAACCGAGGAAGTACAATCAGAGGACTTTCCTGAAGCAGAACCTGTCACAGATCAACTCAAACAGACAGAAGAGTGTCTCGCTGAAGCCAGTGTTGAGCCAGAAGAATCAAAAAAGGATTTATTACCTCTAACCGAAGACAATCTTGAGCAAGTTGGGGCTTCCAGAACAGTTGAAGAAGTATTAGAAGCTGAAAAAGCATCTGCATCAACTTCAGAGGTAGGTAGTCTTCTTTCTCTTGAAAATGAAGAAATCCCAGGGGATATTTCAGCAGTGGAAGCAGTTACAGATGAACCCAAAGCAGAAACAATGCCTTGCACTGGAGACAATCTTGAGCCAGTGGATGCTCCCAAAACCAATGATGAAACACCAGAAGTATTAGAGGTTGCCCAAGTACCAACATTTGGACCTCCAGAGGTCAGAGTTCAATTGCTTGAGAACGACATCATATCAGAGGATGTTCCCGAACCACAGAAAGTTATAGATGAAGCCAAAGAGGAGACACTACCTTGCACTGATGCCAATCTTGAGCCAGGGGATTCTCCTAAAACCGATAATGAAATACCAGAAGTATCAGAGGCTCGTACTGAAGCAAACATTCAGCCAGTAGATGAAGATGTTCAAGAATCAGTAGTATTACCAGCTGCTCAAGTACCCACATTAGATTCAGAGGCAGGCAGTCTTCAACCATTTGAAAAAGAGGTAATATCCGAGGATGTTTCAGGTGAAACTAAAGAGGAAACAATACCTTGCTCTGAAGCCAATGCTCAGCCAGTTGATGTTCCCAAAACAAGTGAAGAACCAGAAGTATTACCAGCCATATTAGGTTCGGAAGACGTAATAGAAACAATTCCTCTAAATAAAGACAACACTGAGTCAATGGAAACACCAGAAACTGAACATGACCAAGACGAAGAAATAATACAAGCTGTTCAAGCATCGAGATCAGATTCAGAGGTGGGTAGCCCTATACCACTTGAAGAGGAAGTAGTGTCAGAGGATACTCAGGAAGCAGAAACCGTTACAGAGGAACCTAGAGATGAGACAATAACTCCCCTTACTGTCACCTCTGAGCCAGTGGAGGCTTCCAAAACGGGACATATTCAAGAACCAGAAGAAGTGCAAGCTGTAAAAGAAGCAACATCAGATTCAGAGGTGGGTAGCTTTCCATCAATTGAAAAAGAGGTAGTATCTGAGGATGTTCGTGAACAAAAAACAATATCAGATGAACCCAAAGAGGAAACAAAGCCTTGCACTGAAGCCGACAGTGAGGATACTTCCAAAACAGTGGGACAACAAGAAATATTAGAAGCTGTGGAAACACCTGCATCAGATTCAGAGGTCGGTAGCCCTCAATCGTTTGTAAAGGAGGTTATCTCAGAAGATATTCCAGTAGTGGAAACAGATAAAGATGAACCCAAACAGGATGATGAAGTTGAGCCGGAAGAAAGACTACCAGAGGAAGCTGCCATAACTGAACATGTCCAAGAAGCAGAAGTACTACCATCTGATTCAGAAGCTATAGTGACTGAAATAACAGCTGATGAAGGAACATCAATGGATGTGAAGGAGGTCCTAGAAGATATTGAGGGAGGTAATGCTCAGCAGGAGATATTAATAGAAGGCGTTCCAAAAGCAGACGTTGAGCATGTCATGGCTTCAGTTACACATGGGATTGAAAATGAAGTTGTGGCCCAACTGGATACTTCTTTAGAGATGGCAGAGGATCAGAACACAGGAAGTATCCCACAGGATGTTGTGGTTGAGCAGGAAAACTGCGTACCTGAAGTTGTAGACGAGATACAAACATTGACAGCAGTTTCTGTATTCAAGGATGAGTTAGAGACTTCCACACCGTTACTGAAAGATGAAGCAGATGAAAAAGTAGAGGGAGGCAGCGTGGTGATAATGATGCATGTGCCATCTGTCGAGTCTGAGGACAACCAAAGAATTCAGGTGCAGGTGGTGGACGTTGATGTAAAATCAGCCGAGAGAATTCAGGACTCAGTGCTAGAGGTAGTGGTCACAGAAGACAAGGAAGTCATCGCTTTTTGTCATGAAACAGTCACAAAGGTCTTCTCAGCAACTCCAGAGATTGAAGAGGAACTAATTAACAAGGAACTCAAGGTGGTCATTGAAGAAGTCGTCCCACACGTAAAGGAAAACTTACCAGAACCTGAATCAGTGGTGGAACAAGAAGGCGTAGATCCGCCAGAAGCTGTCAAAGAAGTGGTTCGAGGTGAAGCTGAGGCCCCAAAAGCAATGGAGGATAATAGTGAAACATTTAGAGAAAGACAAGAAGAAGCCTCTACTGTTGTCCGTGATGTCTCTGCACCTGAACAAGTGTCCAAGGATCTTGGTCCAAATCAACCGGAGAGTCCAGATTCCGCCATCATCGAAGAGAAACAGGATTTGGAGGAAACTAAAGTTGAGCAGGAAAGATGCAAAGCAGGGGTTGTTGTAGAAGAGGTCAAATTGGATCAAAGGATTCACGAGGAAGCTCAAACGATCCAGAGTCCGATTGGAACGCACGGTAACGCTGGAATAGCTACCCCACACAACACTGGGATCATCTCCTCAACAAGTACCGTCATCGAATCTCCTCCAAGTGTTTCTATTGAACTCAAACTCAACACACAGTGCAGACGAGCGACTTCACAAGCTCCAGACGTGTCGGGGGTGGGAGTTCAGGCGGGGGAGGAGCCTGTGAACCAAACACAAAGAGATGAGAGCGAGATACAGGTGAAAGAGAGAGCTGTTCAGGAAACAGAGATCACAGAGCCAGCCTCAGATTCAACAGAAAGAGCCATCGTCATGACTCCTCCTGTCCTCCTGGATATTCACATCCAAGCGCTGGAAGAAACCAAACCAGCGGAGAGAGGGACCTCTAGTGTCCCGGAGGCAGAAACCAAACAACCTGTGAAGCAAACCGAGAGAAGAGGAGTGTCCCGAAGCCAGCCGGTTACCTCTGGAGCTTCTGCCCAACAAGTGGAGGAGCCAGTCGAAGCAAAGGAGGAGGACCATGAGCAGGATGTGTGGATGGATGCGGAGGAAGACATTCGGGAGGAAACCGAGGCGCCCCGTAAAGAGGAGGAGGAGTTTCTGGAGCGATGCAAAGGAGACGAGAAAGAGGAGAAGGCAGGACTTGAGTTAGAAACGGCTCCGAATGGAAAGACGGAGGAGGAAGAACGTCATCTGGAGAGTGATGAAGATTTCGCTGTTGCACTCGAGAGTCCTGACCCCGAAACTGTGAGCGTCAGCACGATGTAGTGGGACTGGTTTCCCCCAAAGTCAGCGTCAGTAACCAGGTGAGCCTCTCCAGTGACTTGTGATTTTTGAAGATTTACACCATTGCAGTTTTTTTTACTCAACCTTTTTAAACTCTTGAAACTGCTAAAAATTAGCAAATTCAGAAATTCTTCATTTTCATGCAAATCCAACTCCAATTAAAAATCTTTATCTACAAACACAGCAAATCAGACTCAATATCAGATAAAGATATATTTTCTATATAAAGTAATAAAGTAAACACAAACATTTCCCAAACTGGGATCAATAAAGTACCTGTCGGTCTATCGGTCTAGTTCTCTACTAAGTCAAATCAGCACAACAGTGGATATCATTACTACATCACTTTTGCATATTTCATTAAACTTTAATAAAATACACAATAAGAAATACTTAGTTTTAAGGAGGCCCTGTTCTGCTCTTTGTGGTGTTCCCTGCTGTATAGGTTTATAGTGCATGTAAATGGTCTGCTAAGGCTAAAATCCAGAAGTTAAATGATCCTTTTATGGTTATTATGTTTTAAGTGTAAACCATTGTGTTTTTATATCTGTCATTTTTCCGTGTGCAAGCATTGGAACGTACCAAAGACAGGAAAGACCTCATTTTGAAAGACAACAGTATAAAAGAATTGTAAAAAAAGAATGTGATTACATTTAATGCAATGTCAAACTGAATTGAAACACCATGCTCCTCTTACCCCTCTCTGCAGGTTGGACAATCAAAGAGGACGGCGTTTTCAAAAAGCCTTTGAAGAGTTTCACCGGCAGAAAAACATTTTGATGCTTTTATTGACATCCAAAAATCTAAGTTTGTATGTAAGAGTATTTGATCAATATGAATATCATATATAAGTGTGTGGTTAAACAGAGGAGAGTGCTGCAGGGTGCTCGGCTCAGGGTGCTCGGCTCAGGGTGCTCGGCTCAGGGTGCATGCAGAGTGAGTTTTATTACTAATCCTGTCTTTCTAATGATATAAATCATGTTTTTGCAGATTTATCAGATGTCTCACTTTAGCGCTTTAAATTCATTAAAGGTGGGGGCGTAGGTACGTTTGAGAAACCGGCTCGAGATACACTCCATTCCATTGAATGCTCTATAACATCCCGATAGCAATGAATATCTGAAGTGCTTTGAAGCCGTAGTACTGTAAAAAGCACGACCAATCATCTGAGCCGGCTAAAGTAACTGGATGGCCTACCTGCCTGTCAGCCTTCCATCTGTGCACAAACTGATCTCTGCCCTCATTGGTCATGTGCGCGTTCGTGTGTGTTGGAGGAGGGGCTCTGTGAGGAAGTGGCAGATTTGTTCCGGCTGTATTTTCAAATTCTAGCTCACTCGAGCTGGTTTCTCCAAACGTACCTACCCCACCTTTAACATTTAGATGTTATTTTAGATGTACTGCACATTCTCATTGGTGATTGTTTTGTATTATTATATGATATATCTTCTTATAAGTAGATATAGATCCTTTCTGCTAATCTGTGTTTTGTTGTAGGTGAGGACGAGGATCAGTTTGAGCAGTTCATGCTCCCTCTGACGGCCGCGTTTGAAACTGTGGCTCAGATGCTGAGCACAAACACCTTCAACGAGCAGGAGGCCAAGGTACACACACACACACACACACACACACACACACACACACACACACACACACACACACA